GAGTTTCGACATTTCAAGAACACAAGGTCTGAAGTAGTAGTGATTTCCAGTATTATACCAAACGAATATGGTTCAGTGATCTCTGGTGGTCAAAATACATTTATAAAATGTGCATAACCTATATTTGTGAAATCTCAATGAATAGGAAATAAATTTCTTAACTTTTTGTGACTTAATGTGACTAAAAATACGTAAACAAATCAATTTAACACCAGTATAGATAGTATAAAGGAAACAAAGCGAAATGTTCCTTAAGTATAATTACGATTGATTTAGGTCCGATCATGTTAATATCAAGTCATTTTGTTCAATGTGAAAACTATTTGTGAACGTGATCATTGTAGTATGGAAGTATAAAGTTGGAAATAATTGAGAGTATTAGAGTAAATGATCGTTCTTAGTGGTTACTTCATCAGACTATACAGTTATAAACCCAAAACGACTACTACTATGTTGCAATATTTGCATGCTTCGTTAATGGTGAGACGTAAATAGGATTAATACGTGGGCACTTAAATAGATGTTCATGTTGGAAGGGTGACTAGGTATTCTTTTCTACTAACTGTGGCGGGGTTTAGCAATATATGAAGAGCTCCAGATACTCACTTTCTTTATAATTGGATAAACCATTTAAATTATTCTGAGATCATATACATATCGATTTGACATCTGTTAGAAATAACATGGACCACTATTGATTTGTAAACCTATTCCTACATTATTTGACCTTTTAATGTACGTTAGATTTTCTTTGGATTGGGTTAAGATTGCACGAGAATAATAACATCGAATGCATCATAGTCAACATATCCCGATCTGTAGACGCAGAACTGAGTTGTGACAGAGATCTTTCATGTAAACTACGATTTCGAAGTGTTTGTTGTTTTAATTTGATGACATGCCTAATGACCAATGTATTCAAAACTTTCAACTGAGATCTTGGTAATGGTACATGCGCATAACCCGTTCAAGTAATCAAAACTAGAGATTCTAGATAGCCAATCATATTAACTAAGCGATGAACAGAAATAAGCTATTTGATCAGAAAATGAGTGTTGTAACTAAATATGAGCTATTCTTTTAATAGGCGAGGAATAGAAATGTTAGTACCAACATGTTGCACACCAGATGTTTTACAGCTAGACATTAGCTGTTACAACACACACTAAGCGTAGATTGATGTGTAACAATACCAGTTATTGAGATTTGGATAACCTATAAAGGAAGTGTATGCCCCATGTTAACATATACTGATTATCAGATTGTATATCGCAATATAGGAAGACGATATTGACATACTCTTTTATGCAACACGCTGCATCAAGTTCAGATTCGTGAACAGAAACGATGGAAATAAACGAGCTCAAGTTACGTGTGGTTTAGAACAGTCGATGGTAGTACAGTCCTCCCCGTCTGTATTGCCAGCAACCATAGAAGTATAGGACAAGGACTCATCTGTATTGACCGAATTTCTATTCAACGACTTTCAACTGAAGACGTTATATGCACTGGTTAGGTAGCCCGCCAATAGCAAACGAATCAGTCATGTAAGTTGGTCTAGACCAACCTATTTCTATTCTGTATACAAATAAAAAATCTACAAATCTCACTTAATACTACCACTCATTCTCTTAGTTTTTATCATTGACCTACAATATAAAGTATACAAACCTAAATGGTTGCGCTTAAAATACGCAGAAATAGAGAACAAGGACAATTAGGATGCCTAGTCTATCTACAACATACCTATGAGTATGTATTCGACAATTTACAACGGCTAGAATGATATAACAGCCGGAGTCAGAGGCAAACATTGAGGACAATGGTTTGCAGTCTCCATACCTGAATACGTAAGTACCAATTTGAAAAATTGGACAAAGCCCATCATATTTGTAAAAATAAAGAAACCTCTTTTATCAATTTACCATATAAGCGTTAGTCTCAAACTGGAAGTAGAAAAAGGTCGGACATAGAACTGAGATTTCGAAAAACAAATCTCCGTACGGGTGGAAACTAGAATATACGAGCAATGAATTCTGAAGAACTGTGAAATAGCCTGTGCGTATAAGTCATACATTCATCGAATAATAATAACTTATATTCTGAAAATAATAATTACAGAGTGAATGGATTTGCAGAAAGCCATAAAAGTACATTTGGTCTATCGATCGCACTTGTAATAAACTAGCAGAGATTATACTCAACCATTCCAGAACGAATTAAAATCGATTGACGATCTGAGTCAAGTAAGTACAGAGTTGAAATATTATTGAACATTATAAACTACTATAGTGACGGAAAAATACAAAGTCTAGACATACAGGTTTAGCGATAAACTGTTAAATATGTAAAGACCTAATAAATACAAAGAATATGTGCTTTTAATCAGATAATCCTATTTTATATTGGTCCAATGGACAGTTAAAAGAGATCGATTTTAATCGACCGTCCAGTCTTAATCTTGATTTTGGTTGGTCTAAAGTACACCTAATAGATTGTCTAAAAACAAAAACCCGACTCTAAACTTCTAGTGATACCATAGTAACAGGTCCTAGCGAATGGTCGTCAAATTATGCATTTGGAGATGGTAAAGAATACTTGTAACTCAGGATGATGTTTTGTTCTCTTAAGTTTAAAGAACAGAATACCCCAGAGTAACTGAATTCAATGTTGTTATGACCATTCGTTTAAATAGAACAGAATAAAAGTGAATCAGGTGGAAACATACGACCACTATACCCCCTAAAATACACAAGTCCAATAGTGTTCCTGAGAAAAAACGACATAATATTAACTAGTAAAATATTCCCAATCCAAAAATTAAAAAAATTGACAATGTTAGAAAGAACACTTAATATTTTAAATTAACTTGTGCAATAACGAAATTGCGAAATGTACATGTACACTGCCATATAAAAAAAAACTAAACTTACTTTGCTGGTGGTTGTACTGAAACCAACCATAACAAAATGGAAAGAGAATGCACATTACAGTATGAAGAAACAGAATTAAGTAATAGCGAAGAAATAATATTGGCTTCTCACATATCGACTATTTACGGAAATGGATTTTAAATCAAGTTATGTAGCAATAAAGTTTGAGAAATTTACGTGAGGAAAAACGCATGATCAAGTTGAACACACACGGTGGGTGTGTGTACACACCAAGATAAATCCTTAGAAAAACATTTTTGAGACTTACAATCGGTGAAATAATAACAATAGTTGAATGAAAGCACTTTATATATATAAATAATCACAAATTCAGCGAGACTTGAAACGAAAAAAATGTATCTATACTGCAACCTATTTCATACTGAGAACCCAGTAAGATATCACCTTAACAATTTGAAACAGGAATTTCAAAACACTCCGATTGTGCATAATCATTTATATCAGAGTAGACTACCATTAAATTCGAAAAGCGGTTTACTTTAGGATAAAACATAACGCTTAACAAATGACAATAACAACAAAAAAATACATACAAGTATACAAAAAACAATAAGGAAAATTTACAACTGTTTCTGTACAGATAGAAGAGAAAAGAAAAATAATTAATTATTTGCTTCTAGTACAAAACGAATTATTATGAAGTATTTTGAAAACATATATTATTTATTATACTATATGGGTAACTGCTGCTATATAGATTTAGAGATAAGACAAGTTATGAATCCACGTTGCTAAAATTTGCATATATATATATATATATATATATATATATATATGTCTTATTAAATTTTTCTGCCACTACATTCTTATCCATATGCATATGGATGAACGAACTGTGTGTGTGCGTTCTCGTTTATAGATACGTAAAAATTCCGACCTCCTATCAATAGCAATTTTTAACAAGACAAGCAATGTAGGAATATACTGCAACAAAAGAAAAAGGATTCTTAGGACAGAATAATAATCATTTGAAAAATACTAATACACTGTTTTAAAATATTACGCAAAAATGAGAGATTTTTAGAAGCAAGCAGAAGACAAGAGCTTAGATCTATATGAGTTATCGTAACTAATACATAACTACAACTATTAAATTGCTAATTTAATAAGCATCTTGGATTTGTTGCGAAACAACATTAAGTGAGACGTATGTACATATACAATAGATTAATTTTTAACGAAGTAGTACGAAAGGGAAAACATAAGACAGGAGAAACAAAGATCAGATAGTATGAATCACAGACAAAAGTGAAAAGATATAGAAAAATAAACAAAAACAGGGGATTGATTTACATGTGTATATCTATGCATACATATACGATTGTGTATTTGTGCGTGTGGACTATCGAACACACTGAAGAATGTTAAAGTAACAACAAAACAAATATACTTAAATGAGCGCAACAAAGCACAAATATCAGACAAGAGGATTGAAGGAGTGAGATACAGGATACATTATGTTACTTGCGCTTCACAGCACTAATATCATAAACGAAGTTAATAATTGCAGTGAACTAAGGAAAATTCACCAATCTGCAAATGATCAGTTTAAGAAAGAAATATTAAATCTATCTAGAAGTATCAGTAATGAAATAAATTTATTGGCTCCTGGGTTTAGTGTAATCCTAGGTCTGTCAAGAAAGAACAGTTATGATAAAGCTCATGATTACTAGTTTTAGTATCATTAGTTCTACTTACAATAATGATAAAATACCAAGAACGCGTTATTATCACAATGCCATCATGAGATAAAGAAAGACTATACACTATCAAACATACTATGGAGCGAAAACGATGTGACTGAGCGGCGCTCAACAGTCCAAGAGACTCTGACGCGAATAATAATAATAATAACAATAGGATAAAATTGATTCTTCCATCCCTAATACGGCTGCCAAAATTTAAAAAACTTAATTCTTAAAAGTAAGTTGAGAACGACTAGAAATGGGGTTGAAGGGAATGAAACTGAGTTGAAGAGTATATATATATATATATATATATATATATATATATATATATATATATATATACTTGGTCTATAATATGCTAGCTACGAATTTGTTGTTGCTGTTGTGACTCTGTTCGACGACGGCAATCGCGATTATGCTGAGCTGTCCAGTGTTCAAACTGGCATGTTTCAGAACAGTATGCCGTCCCGGGACAACAGTGGTAGAATGCCTCATTTAAACACACTTGACACCATGTTCGTTGTTTAACTCGTTTAATCTCAGCTTCATGTGCACGACGAAGTTCAGAGATTAAAATGTCGCGTCGATGAACTTCCTCCCGAGCTTGATCTCTCTCAGTTGTCAAGGCAATAAGTCGATCAGCATATATCCGATGAATTCGTTCCTACAAACAATGAGATAGAAATGTTTGTGGATTTAAAATGTTGACATTGTGTTGAAATAAATATACAGCTAAAAGATGTGCGTATGTATATACATATGGTTAACATTTTAGAAATCACGTTACTAATAAAGAAATTCTTAATAAAGGATATCACAAAAAGTAGATGAAATATTATAAAAGCTGACTTTTTACTGAGGATTGGAACTTAACCAAAACTAGTGTAAGACGTCGTAGGATTAAAGTCAGGAAAGTACAACAGAACTGTCGATAATAAGATATCTATGTTTATTACTTTACTGATTTATTTACCTTACTAAAGTTTAATGCACTAGGTCCTAGGTTGTAAGAAAACATTCCCTGTCTGTCCATCGAATTTCACAAATAAAAACGACTGAAAAAGAACGTTAAAAAGTTTTAGAAAAACACCCTTGACAATTCGCAAGCCGTGTTTATCAAACAGAAACATAAATTAATGTTTGAGTTCAACTAGGTACACTATTAAACCAATAAATAAACTAATTAATTAACAATCTTCAGAGAGATATGTCTACGTTCACGAAAGCGAAATTGGATCAAAAGGCTTGTTTAACTTTGGATTTAATGGAAACCCTGATAGGTAGTTAAGAGAGATTTTGTGGGTTACATCAATTTGAATAGCGAAGGTACAACCAAGTCTTTTTATTAACATGGTTTACTTTTTAATCGAGCTTGATGAATCTGGAAAAGAATAAAATTGTCCAAGTCCCTTAAAATTAGGTCTCTTGACTTTTTTGATGTCACAAGAGCACTACATAAAGAATAAAAGAGTTAAAACGAAATGATATTTTAGTCAGCTTTGTATTAAAATGAGGACGGAGTTTCTAATGTTTAGTGTGTAAGTGATATCCTTTTGGGGTTGTAACTAATTAAGAGCACGGGTACATGAGACAAGACAGTTGCTGTTTAGATTAATAATCTGAAAATGATTCATTATGTGAGTATATTAGGTGGAACAACACTTGATGTTGTATAAGAGGATTACAAGACAAGTAATATAAAATGATGGTTTCAGTAACAAGAGAATCAAAGAAATTAGTAGGCGACAAATATATAACACTTTTTATAACATTAAATATTCATCAAAGGAATAGGTAATATAATTGTAAATTTCAAAATTAAGACCCACCTCAGTTTTTATCATATTGCTATCAGACTGCAAATGAGCAACCAGTCCACTGCCATTGCCTGATGAGCAAGAAAAAGGTGCATTCCCTAGCATAGTTGCTACTTCACCAGGTGATGCGTCTACTGATTTCGGATCACTTAAACTAGAACCTAAACCAGACGTAGATGAAAGAGCAGCTGGTGACACTGAAGAGTAACATGAAGAAGATGCTGAAGAGTTCGAAGGAGGAGTTGGACCGGTGGAGACATTTGCTCCAGTTGGATGAGTAAGCTGAGGCGCTGCAGATGGCTGATCATTAAATGTAGACAATATTTTCGGCCCACTAGACCAGCCAGAAGGATGAACGGTTTTAGAACTGAGTTTGGTATTGGGGCTATCAAAAGCGAAATTTTTGACGGATGAGTTGGGTGCCGAAGAACCCAGAGATTTATTGTCAACAGAATTACTACCATCGCCAGGAATGCGCAGAATTCCGGTTACCTAAAAAAGGAAACGGATAAACAGTTTAGCTGCAAAAACACTGATTTACATACCATACGAACACTACTGTTACTTCGACCTATAACTTGATTTCTTACTAGCCAAACTTCCAAAGACTGACATTTTCCTCATCTCTAAAGAAGCTTGAAAGTAACGTACATGTAGGTTTAGTTAACTTGACTAAGAATGGCGAAAAGTTCCAGCGTTTGTATTTATTAGATTTACCAATCAGATAATAAAAACAATAGCTACGAAATAAACTGTTTAGAAAGGATTGAATGCCATTCAGATCAGAAACGCGAACACCAAGACTTCACACATACACAGGTATTTTACAGTTTAGTAAAAGGCTACGATATCAATAAGGTAGTTAAAACTAGAAGGAACTTCTTATAAACAAAAACGAAAAAAATAAATGTGATTATTATCATTTTCTAACATGTATGTTGTAAAGATCCTTGGAAAGTTCATTACGATATACATGAAACTCTTTAGAAATCAACAGCAATGTGTCGGTTAACCAAACGTAAGTAGTTTAAAACGAATTGGGCATTCTTATTTAGGCATATTTTAAACGAAGCTACACTTTCGACGAACCAACTGATTAGGTAGTCTATGTGAGGATCTTTGACAAGTTTCAAAGTCACAATATAAATTCAAATCAGAATGTAAACGTTTACAATTAAAACTTAAAAGAAAATATTACTTTAGAGGCAGCCATTTATTTAACTTTTTAATTGGTAGTCTTGGTGAATTATTTTTGTCATACTAAATGATACAAGAATTGTTGTGAGCGAGTAACCGCTATCTAAAGTTAGAAATTCATCAAAAGCAAGGGACCTTCAGTAACAAGATTACAACACAGGCATGTACTGACTTGCTAAACAATCTCACAGTTAATTAGCACTAGTGTTTGTACAGACTGCGTAGTGCTTTATGGATAGGACCATGTAAACCATTCGACAAATCCAGAAAATGCTAAGAAATTATTATTATTAGACATATGATCAACCCACTAGATTATTGGTTAGATCAAAAAAGTATATGGCAAAAGAGAACCAGTTTGGACCAACTTACCTTTTCAGGTTTTAGACTCTTTTCCGGAGAAACCATACAGAATCCGACGTCTTCATCCTGATAGTCATTATTCAATTCTGTATTTTTGAAAGTATTTGTAGCAGTAGATCGCGAAGACGGTCGGAAATGTCCCTTCATTTCCAAGTTATGGCGAGACGACTTAATTGATTTAGTTAATTTGGGAACGTGTTGACTACTATCAGCTTCTTTTGTCCCTTCCTTATTATCACGTGTTTTGAGAGTTAACTGACTTTGGAAAGGTGTTAAGATGTCTTTTGACGACTTTTGCTTGACTCGAGCGGTCGACAGTTCGTCATTTATCTTTGGTTTTAGTGTAGAGAAGGATAACCGTAGAGCAGGAGATGAAAGTGTGGATGTTGAAGACAGCGAGGAAGAAGACAACTGAGATGATGATGACACGGTGGAGGATGAAGAAGAAAGAGAAGACAAATCCGACTCTGCATCTGATAAGGATGAAGGCGGTGATAAAGAACACACTGGATGTTGTTTATCTTCATCTGCAACGGTTAGCCTATCTGAACGAATAGGAGAACTTATCGGTATTGTAAGAAGACTATGCTTGTTATTAGCTGGGGGTTCATAGGTATTTCTTGCAGATAACAGTAACGGGGTGGAAGAACAATCATCAGAATTTTCGGTAGCACATTTGGCGCTCGCTGAAGGCAAAGAGGACTTGGTAGATTTATGAGTCTTAGGCGGACGTCCACGTGATTTTTTGGAGAAATCGGAATATGTTGAAGAGGCCGAAAAAGCTGATGAATCAGGAGGGGTATGGCCACCAGAAGAGGCAAGGGCAGGAACAGTTGTACGGTCCGATGAAGGACCAGATGCAGCAGAGGACGAGGAGGACATGCTGTGTACAGGTTCTGTACGCACGACATGACTGTCAACACAGGTCAATCGAGGGAGAGACTGATTGGTTTCCTTCACAGAAAGAGGAATGTCGTTGTTTTCACTTCTAAAAGGCAACGGCTTAATGCGTATAGTCCGTTGTGTTTTAGCCGCAAAAGACGCTGTTGAAAGCTCGGATGAACTAGAGTCACAGCTCGGAGGGACAGCTGATATGCCGTTGGAGAAACTAGGTCTTGAGTGTGCTTCGTTGCATCGCTTTCTTTTATGTGACTTTCTTTTTGTTGGAGTAGGTAGGAGAGGTATCGATAGTTTCATAGACGATTTATTTACACTTGGATTCTCAGGAGTAGGCTCTGAAATGCGGCACTTGGTTTCCGGACCATCACTGTCACTGTTCAGTGACGATAAGGAAGTTAAGTTATCTATAAAAATGAGGTAAAAAATCAGACCACTATTATTATCCGTATCAAATTTATGAATAATTTCAACAAACGAATAAAGTAAGCTAATGATTTAACATCTAATTATGAGATTCACTAATATTTTTGTCTTACTATGAGGCATACTGTTAAAAAACAGTTAGTGATAAGAATGCTTAAGCAAATGTATCTAAACAGTTTACACAGTTTATAACGATGAACTTAATGAACATTTTATTCTGGGAATTCGAATGAAAGGAGTTAAAACCCCTTATCTCAAAACAAATCATCGTGAAATAACAACCTGTGTTTAAAAGTGGAGTTGACAGCATATACAACAGTATATAAATTAAATGCTCTTGTAGGAGTATTAGTGTATATGAACTGTACTTACGACAAAAAACCACTTATTTTTATTAAGATAGGCTGCACAAAGACATATGACCTGTGTCAATCGTGTATTGGTCTATGTTGTCACCCTACACCAAACGGAAGTTAACAAAACCAAGAAAACGGATATAGTTATACCAACAGTTGTGAATAACTACCAGAAAGAAAGCAAAAAAGAACCAAAAAATAGATGAATTAATGGGTCCTTATCACAGTCCTTCCATAAAAACTTAGTTTTTGACCGATAGAAGCGACTAGAAATCAAATGAAGGTTACTAACAGAACAACAGGGAAAGAGAAAAATCAATGAGCTACTGTTGGATCGATACATTCCTGCCTACTTGTTTATTAGGCTTCAAAAACATAATTTAGTCCGACCTGAACCAAAATTTTTTATGAACATGTGCTATTTAGGAAAACCAATAGGTAACCAATTGTTTTACAATTAAACCAGATGAGAGACTTGTTTATCTGGTTTCGCTAACCAATCAATATCAATGTCTAAGAATAAAAGATCATAGCGATATCAGGACATGTGCACAACGGTTATTAGAAGATAAGATTATGAAAGCGAAGGTAATTTACTTTAAACATGACAAACAAGAGGAGCAATGATTCGTCTATTATAGGAATGAACATTTTGAATGTCCCTATTGTTTTATTAGAACTGTACTTTGGATACCTAACCTTCCTACTGCCGTTAATACCGCTACAACCGCTACTGCTGTAGGATTTAACCTGACAATTCCGTCTCACTATGCTAATGGGATATGGCAACCCGAACCGTTGTACACATGTGTCGGGTCCTACGTTACGTCTGATTGAGCAACTGAGTTTTGTCAATGTCCTCCGGAAACCAGTGACTAATAAAGATTAGATAGAAAAGACGAAGTGTGCCCAATTTGGGTACGATGACTATGGATACCAGCTGAAAATGAAACTTTATTTGCAGACTATTTGAGTTAGTTAGAACGGACAATGAAACAGACAACTCATACCTAATTTTAAATTGAAAGCTATAACGCAATCATAGATAATGACCGAGAATCTAAAATTGATAAACTCGATTTCCGAAAACTAATTAATAGAAATAAGAAATTTAGCACATCCCATGAAACCACAAGTGGCAATAAAATTCAGCAAAATGCATAACCCGTTTCCTAAAGGGACTAACCATGTGTAAAATAGTCACTTTAAATTGTTTGAGTTCCTGAGATCTGAGCTTATATTTGTATTCTCAAGGAAATCATATTTTCACTTTTTCGACACTCATCATATGCTAGAGAATGGTCTAAAAGCCACGACCAATGAAAGCAATTTGATTTCATCAGATACAAGTGAGGCTCAGACAGTGCTTGATAAAATCTCATAAAACGTCTGAGACAAATATGAAGGATGTATTAGCTGCACAGACAACAAAAGTTTATGAAAACCACCAGTAGACCTAATGAACGTTCGACGTACTAAGCATCTAGAAAATTTTTATAATTGATAAATAATTTTTTGATGAATTGGCAGAAAAAGCTGTTAAGAACTTGGTATTTTCCCAGAGAAATTTAAATACGCTAGATTCTACTTAATTTTTACCGACTATGAAAAGAAGCCAATAGCAACTGCTTGAGATTTAAGATAAATTTAATTAAGAAAGTTTGAAATCTCTTAAACTTCTGAACAACGAGGATTTAAAAGTGTGATAACTATTTATTGCTCTAGACTGGAGTTAAAATAATGCACGGGGGTACATATAATACAAGTAGTCTTTGTGACTACTCTTACCTTCAGTAACATTCTTCATATTATCCGACCAATGTGAGTCACGTCGAGACGTAGAATGCTGTGACACAGGACACCACACAGGTGAATTTGCTCCAGTGGATTTACGAGATTTGAAAACCTGTATTTCAGGCGATACGTTGAAATCTTCATTGTGAGATCTAGTAGATAGTGGACGCCTACCAGGTCTTTTCTTTTTTAAAGGCGGAGAAGTAGCACTTTTCAGGAATGTTCCATTAGATATAGACTCATTGATTAGATTGTTTCTTATCGAATCTATCGAGATAGGTTCAGCCAGCATCTTGTTTGGCAGATGATCAGAATTCTTCATTTGCTGATCAAAAATAGCTTGGTTTGTTTTGTACTCTTCAGCTTCATTCAGTGCTTTTTTCAAAGGTGGTGTTTCTCGTAAACCAAGTTCATCTGCTGTAAAATTCATATCAAATGCTCTCGCTAGTGGGACAAAAACTCTCTCATGTCGTCCACCAAAGCAAACTACTTCGTAGCCCTCCGTACTCTCATATAACATTTTGCAAGGGCGAAAGGACCACCCATTGTGTTGGAACCAAAGGAGACGATGAGCAACCCGACAAGGTGCTGTTAATTTATTTACTGATGCTGAGTGAAGACGCAAGTAACAATCTATGCAAAAAGATGATTCTCGCAATTCTCGTTCTAGCTGAGATCGTATCTGTCGAGCCATATTGCTCATATCGTTTTTAGAACCGTAAAAAATGGCGGTGTTGTGAATTAGTAAATCCACATCAATCAGAAGGGAGGTTCGATTAGGATAACAATCTTTAGATGATGGATCTGCTCGCATACGTTCGGTTATAAGACGAGTATTAATTTGCCGTAATACGAGGTAGTTATTTCGTAAAGGTTCGTTTAAATAACCAACAACCTGCATTGTTTTCCAATTGACTTTGTTGCGGATCCGATCAAGGACAACCTGGAAGATTTTATGTAACTCCGATGGGGTGCTAGGATTTGATATATTAGATGCTCGCGACAACCGCTGGCAAACAGGACATGGGCTAGTAGGTGGGAATCCACTGGACATATTTGAATCGGCTTCGGATCCACCAGATTCACACGGTATAACAGAGGACAGTTGTGATGATAAGGCAACTGGCAAGCAATCGGGGTGGTATACTCTGAAACAAGTTGGACAAGATACAACATGACCTGGTCCGTGACATTCAAAGCAATACCTGAATTGGGAGAAAAACAGATACAGCGTTAGTTGACTAAAAACTGGACAGCACATTTGAAACAAAATAAGTTTTTGTGGTGAGATGATGTTTTTTCTTTAACGAGGCCCAGAAGCTACCACTAATTTCCGAAAAAGCCAATGACTTAAGAAATGACAATCAGTAAGGTTTGAACCAGAATTAGGGATTGGAGAAACAAAAACACTTAAGATGTGTCATAATTGTGCATAGTTCTTAGACGTCAAACCTATCATCAAGATAGTTGGTACAAATCAACTCGGATAGTAGTATGAAATAACGCTGCCCAGTATTTTGACAAAAATGAGGAGACGGATATGTTAACTACTGGAACGAAAAATCCAGTGTTTTTGCACTAGTGAACATTATGTTTAGGAATAAAGCCGCTTGGATAGATTTATAGCTTCATATGGTCAACAACCACCTAATTTTAATATTTTAGAGACACTGATAATGGATTCTAAAAAATGTAGCTGGCAGTTGGTGCTGGTTCACGTTGGTCACATCAATCGACGAAATTACCGTTTGTGAACAGAAATAGCTCGACGGTATCTTGTGCGTCCTTAATCGTCATGTTCTGTAGAACATTTCGTAACAAAAATACTAATGGACCAAATAAGACTAAATTAGTACATGGTAACGAATCGTGGAGCACGTGACTTTACACTGAGTCATGAATACTACATTGCCGAAAGATAGTTGAATAATCAATATCACTGAGATGGTGGAGGTTTGTAGCTCAGGTGGATGATTTTCATGGAGTTTCGCTACATCATACGTTCTACATTGTTAGTGTGGCGCATATGTATTTGGTGCCCCCTTATACCAATGTTTGCGATCAAATAAACATATAAACGTAGCAGTTACTTCACTTAATACTTGCTCATAGCCTTTTTATCGCTCACTGAAGTATTCAGCCTTTTTAAGTTGGTTTCCCACAGATTAGCAACTCGGAGGGAACAATAATAATCGGATATTTATCTACAAATGACTGACCTCAACCTTTTGACATTGTGCAACAGCAAAAAGGTGCACTGACATCGTATTCACTCGATAAGCGAGACAATATCTTACCCGAGCAATGAGTGACTTAGATTGCTGCATACCAAACATGTTTTCAGCATTCGTGTCGTATCTTGACATTGAGTAACTACATTTTAACTACTTCTAAGCAGTATTAGGTCAGACAAATGACCCACGACCTGGTTGAGACGTCGTGGTAAACGTTACCCAAAATCAAAAAAACGTGACTCGAACAAAAACTAGAATCCTGAAGCATATGCTGCAGAATGTGTAATACTACGGTGACTAATGATTCGTCACGAAAAGCCATTGAATACGTCTAGGGCAGTAATTTCAGGTTTTTTGGGCACGTATTGCAGTTATCTACACCGGGAATTTACACACCACTTCTCAGAGCTAAAAAAAGAGCCCGTTTAGAAAACCGCAAACATACGCGCGTGTCAACTATCACATCGAGATAAAAGATTGTCCATTGCAATGCATGCCAATACAGCTTTTGCTTGAGTGTGAATATTCGAACTTTTCCGAGCTTAAAGGTGAATACACATGAAAATTTCCCTTAGTCCTGTTAACAAACTCATACAGTGAATATTATGTAATATAGTTACGAACTGCCATGTGTTGTCAGATGAAATCGTCGTTATACTAAATATCTGTTCTTACTGAGCAAACCTACCTACATTACTACTGTCACCTTATCTTTAGATTCGTCTCCAGAATATTCCGAAAGCCAAGGAGTGGGACAGATGAACTTATGGAATGTACTTATCGTGCAGTTGAGTTACTACTGTTGGAACTAGTGATTTTTTGTCTCACTGTAGGCCCCACAGATACTCGGTGATATCAATAAATTCAAGAGCTTGTTTCCAATAAACAACAAATATTATTATTCACTATTACAATATATATATATATATATATATATATATATATATATATATATATATATATATATTGGTGGAACTGATAGTGTACAAAAGTCATCCCTAGAAGTGACGGAAGCTTTGTTGTGAGGCTAAAGAACAATTCGACGCAGGATTACGGAGAATTAGTAAAAATGATGTCGCTAAATTGCAAAAAAGACTGGTGCCTACTCCTCCTCTAAGATGCTTACACCATCCCAGTTTACAAACTAGTAATGCAAAAGGCCGACCAATCCGCAATTAGCTACTACTTCAAGAACTAGAGTTGAGTATTGCTACATAAGCGAATAGTTGTCGCGAAGACAACCACGTGACTACTATCGACTTCTCAGTTTCAGTGTACCAACAAATCCTAAACATCTCAAGCTGTGAGAATTATTGCGCTGTGGTGTTTGGACGTTTTATTATGGAATGTAAGGCCATGTGTAACGTTTACATAATTTATCACAACGCTATTTATCCCCTAAAAGAAGTAATACTCAGTTACAACACGAATAACGTTGCCACCTAAAAAAAATCACCAGATATTCTGCATAAAACTTATTATACATGTTCACAAGCCTCAAAAGGAAGAATACAGATATTGAATCGGGGCTCAAGCCCAACCTACCAATCATGTTTATCCTTCACTTTGGGCATTGGATCGCGTTTCACATAACAGCGTTGGTTACATTCTATACAACCATCGCTTATAGCGTTTGAGAGTTCGTTTTGCAGTTTTCCTGCAGTGCATCTAGAATCACATTCTCTTTGAATAAAGGACAACAACTCGTGAAAAGAAGATTCGATGGAATCTCTTGAGCATGCTTCAATTGCATTCCACACAAACTGGAGATATACAGGATCAGTATACCTCCTAACTGACATTTCGAATTTAAACTGGATGAGTCATAAGCCGTTTAAAAAAGTTTAATGGGGGAAAGAGTTGTCATAGATTAATTGGGCATAATAATCACTACAGTCTTTCAGATCCCAAGAAGACGCAGACCCAAAAGTCCGCTGCAGATTCATAAACATAAACTCAAACAAACCCTTCAATCGCCAATCCTTTTCAAACAGAAACCGTCAATAGGACTTCTCTGTTTCAGTTTCAGTTTGAGAAGGACAGGAGGCTCGATGGCCTATGTTAGTCCTGGCAATGGTGGTCTCTCAGTTGATCCAACTTTCTCTTGAAAGAGTCGACGGATGGAGCCTCAACCACGTGCTGAGATAGTGAATTCCACTCGTTGATGATTCGATGGGAAAGTCGATGGTCAGCTGACAAGTAATTTGTTCTCGGCTTATGAACTTTTTTGGAGTGTCCTCGTAAATTCTCTGTTTTGGAAGACAAGAAAAATGAGGGTATATCAGGTGCACATTTGCGATAAGACAACGGGAAAAGGTTCAGCTTGGCCAGTCGAGATTCATACGGAAGCTTCGCTATTCCGGGAATCAGCTTAGTCGCCGTTCTCTGAACCTTTTGCAGAAACTCACTGTCTTTTTTTAAGCAGGGGCTAGCCGCTTGTATACAGTACTCAAGTTTGGGACGTACGAACACTGTATACAAAGTCAAAAACGTTTTGGCGTCGACATGACTAAAAGCTCTACGTATTGACCATAACGTTCTAAAACCTTTGGCGGCTATTGCACGGCAGTGTGCAGTAGTCTTTAAGTCTTGGCTAACGATAACTCCTAAGTCATTATATGTCTGGACGACAGGTAGCTCAGTGTTATTCATCGTGTATGTATCTGTGCCTTGATGACCGATATGCATCACAACACACTTGGAAGTATTTATCGGCAACTGCCATGTTTGAGACCATTCAGATAATTTCTTCAGGTCATTTTAAAGTTCTAAGCTATCACTCTTACATCATATCGTTTTCCATATCTTGACATCGTCAGCATATAACAAGACCGATGATGATAGGAGACAAGGAAGGTCATTTACATACAAGAGGAATAGCACTGGCCCCAAAACTGTACCCTGAGGCACTCCACCAAGCACAGTTTCCCAGCTAGATAACTTTGAGTTCACCCTTACTCTTTGTTGACGCCCAACTAAGAAGTCTTTTATCCACATCAATAAATTGCCTCCAATCCCGACATTTCTTAACTTATATAACAGCCGGTTGTGCGGAACTTTGTCAAAAGCCTTATTGTATTGAAGAAAGTTATGGGCAGGGAAGAACAAAGGCACTTGTTCTTATTTTTCATTTACCGAAAACTACTAAATATTATTCAACATGATTATTTGACATATTTTAAGAAGTTAAGGTCAGTATCTCTATAATTTATTGATATTTTCTTCTCTTTTGTCGTTAAGTGCACCTAGACTTTTACCTGGCGTCATCGGTGATACACTACTATTAAGTACACAAGCCCGTTAAGCTAAAGCTTCTATTCGAATAAAAGCCCGCTAACAAGCAATACGTCATTGTTGACGTCCCTATCAAGAAACAACTCATGATAGCAGCCAAGAAGTGGATTGTTAGCAAAGACCTGTGCCTTTATCCAACGGGCCTGGTCGATATCCACCTACAAAGGTGCGACCAACCAGATGACAATTGGGCAGTTCTGAAATGTAAAATCATTAACGAATTTGGTAAGTAGCAAACATAGAAATTATGATTCACTTTAGATTCTCTGCAGTCGGCGCAAGATGTTTTACTTTCAATGTAAATACTGGAATCTCACCGTAGAAACACTTCTACGGATGAGAACACATTGCCACATCGGAATCTAAGCATGCCGGTGGTGCTATAGCGGATCAGTAAGTCACCTGCATCATCTAGTGAACTTTTTCAGCTTTGTTGGGTTGTACAAGATTTTGCAGAACATATCCTCGGCAATTACTGACTTGAGTAGTAATGTTGAGCAGTTACTATCTAAGTCTAACGAACGCGAACAACCGCATCGATTCGATTGCGGGCTCTCCAGCCAGCAGTTCCCTTTGTCATCTGAAGAGGAGCTGCAGATGCTGGAGACTGGTTTGCAGCAGAAAGAAACCAGAGACCGATTTGTAAGTCATCAACATTAATTTAATAATTTGTCCCGATTACAGATGGCAATGGTTACCAGGTTATCAAGTGATGGTCCGAAAACCTCAATGCGGTATGTTCTGTCGTACCTCTTAACACCTGAGTTTGCCAGTAACTTCACGTTACTTGGAACTTCTTCTAAACGACTACTTCTAAAATGTCGGTTTTACGGATGCATAAGAAGTAACTCATATTTAATATTTAAACTTCAGGTGCGTTAACAAATCGCTTTTTATCATCCTCTGTCAACGAAAAAGATCTTGCGAAGCTGTACGACATAGCCACACTAGGTTTTCACGATGTCAGAGACAAAGTGATAAAGCGTAAAAGAAGGAAAGAAGGGCAGGTATGTACTAATTTAAAGTGATAAAATTCCCTACGGCTCTATAGTTACAGTAATCAGTGTTAACGGACATAACCGTAAGTTTAGCTTAAAGTATTTGGCTGTGCCAAGACATGTCATTCAAATACCTTATGAATAATACATCACCAGTTTCATCTTTTGTAGATCTTTTCAAATAACAATGAACTGGCAATTACAATCGATATACAAAATGACTGATGCTCAAGCTTCGGCTCTAATGTTGTACAATAATACGATTTTCCTCTTAAATAAAAATTTTTAAAGATACATCGGTTTTCCAGTGCATTGCAGTTTTATTTCGGTCTGTTGTTGAAAATAAAGGAGAACATAGGAAACCTTTTGGGGTTATGTCAGTGGATCGAAAATAGGGAGTTCTGTGTGTATTTAGGCGAAAAGTAGACAATTCGGTGGACATTTAGGCGGAAAGTAGACAATTCAGCGGATATTTAGGCGAAAAGTCGGCAATTTATCGACAAAGCGGCAAACAATCTAGAACTGTGAATATATCAGTGAGTCCTTGTCAAATCAGCAAATAAGCCGAACCACTTCTGTGTTTGATGACAAATCAATGAATAATGGACAGTTCAGTTATGACTAATGCGAACTAATAGATAGGAAACCATGAACAAACATATACACCAGTGTTTCCACATTTGATTCTGACCTCGTTAGTTTTCATGAAAACATATAGCTGAGGACGCTCGGTCACGCATTCGCAACAAATCACGAGTAGGTACGCCGTTCTACTAATATCCTACAGCCGTTAACCGGCTTAGATTTAGTGCTTCACGATATATCGGTATCTTTATGTTTTAACAGTAATATAATTTATTCACGCCAGTCACCAAGCGAAGGAATTTCCTTGTTTATCATGATGAGATAGGCCAGGTTGTGTGTGTACAATCAGGTGTACCTTCGAGGACGCCATACGTTTACAGCCCAAGCCGAGTAGATGGGTCACTCATTTACATGGGCGTTCCACATGATAATTAGTTAGGTTGCAGATAAAACAAGATTTCATATGTGCCACATAAATTGCTTTGGTCATCCCTTATAAACTGGAGGGTGTACCCATCGAATTTATAAACTTAATTCGGTACTAATACTACTTGATATCACTCCTCGGCGTCTGTCTGGACCTCCATCCAAACCCGGCTACTAACCGCCTAAATCGTGTCGCAGCACTAGGTTTTTAAATCATTTGACGACAGACAAGTATACCAATACCTTGACTGGGCTCTTTTCGAATCAATGTCGATAAGGTGGATGCTAAGCGATCATTAACAATACAATAGAAGCCCTGAACATGTAAATTATTGGAAAACAAGTTTTCTTAAAGACATGGTGACAACGCTTGATTACATTTTGGCTCTGCATGAGTTTCAGTCGGTATTGCTTGCATTTTCAAATAGGCTTGATGAATTCTTCGTATGCCATGCTTATGGGACAGAAAGCGACACTTCGTTTAAGCACCATCAGTGTTAGCAACCAAACTTGTTGATTTAACGATCTCTACATACGCAGTGATTGCCTAAGGTCAGGCATTATAGGAAGTAAAAACATTCGGTACTTAATCTTCTATGCTTATTCGATATGCCCTTTATTTTCTAGATGGTCCAACCTAATGAATTCATAATCAAACGTGACAATAATTATACCTTACGTAACGTAAAATCAGGATTAAACAACAGATAATTAAAGTAATAACAATATGTTTCTGCCAGAGTAGGTACACGCCATTTTTACAGACAATATCCATAATTTACAAGACTGATTTGAATATAAGTCGCTTTCCAGTTAGAGCTCCAAATAGAAGAAATCTAAAAAAAAGACGTTGCATTCGGGCAAGAATCCCAGAGAGTTAATAATCTGGTTTGGTACCGTATTATGAATGTAGTCTTTATGGTCTGTTTCACAGACCATGGAGGATGAACACCAGGTCCAAACTTAGCATCATTGTGTTGGGATTCTGGTACTGCTAAGACGTTATACGAGACAACTTTTTAAGAAGTTTATAATTGTAATAAAGTACATTTAAGGGACGCTTGGTATGAGCCCTTACTTTGAAAACGCTCACGTTAGGTTTGTTTCAGGTGTATGAAGCTTCACATTTGTGCTTTGGGTGTGATGCTGGAAAAGAGAAATAAAGGAGCAGCAAGGTATTTGGACACAAACCGCAAAAATGCCTAATGGTTTGTAGTGCGATAGACAAAAGCATGGTAAGTCAGTAGATAAAAGTCATATTAACTTCCGCTACTAGAATGAAGTGTGGTTAGCGTCTTCATCTGAGAAAAAACAGTGATAAAGAACAGTGAGTTGTGGTATGCAACAAGGTGAAACGCGTTCAAATAAAGGAAGGGGAGTGGAAGTTCGAATCAGGAAAGTCGTTTATTAAAATAGAAAATACATCAAAATAGAGTAAAGTGTTAGGGAACTCTAATAACGATGTCCTTTGCTTTCTGTTCTTTTAATTTTCTTTTTTC